GCGTCTGACGGCGTGGCCCGACGGCAACCAGCGCGAAGTGCGACATGCTGCATTTCGCGCTGATGCGTTACCCAAAGAACACTGCGTCTCCCTCTTTTCGTGACGGAGGGATGCTGGACGCGCTGAAACGCGCATGCGTCAAAGCAACGCAGCGTGGCGCGCGCCTGCGAGTATGGCAGGACCGGTGCCTGGCGTGGCAACGCCGGCGTGACGCGACGAAATGAACGCCGGCGAGCACGCGCGCCGTGCCACGTCGAAGTGTATTGGTGCCTTGACTGTGGCATGTAGTCATGTTCTCACATGACACGCATCTCATGATTATCATGTGTGCTGCAGCCACATGCCTTCGTCATCCATTGACGTCACGTAATACCAAAGAGCACAGTGGATTAGGGAACGAACGGGGGTTAAGGGTATCATAGTTGAAATCAAGAAGAGGAAATGGACATGGGCCGGGCATGTAGCGCGTAGACAGGATAACCGCTGGTCATTAAGGGTTTACTGACTGGATTCCCAGAGAAGGCAAGCGGGTTAGGGAGAGACAGAAGGTTAGGTGGACAGAGGAGATTCAGAAGTTTGCGGGTACAAACTGGCAACAGCAAGCACAGGACCGAGTTGACTGGCGGAACATGGGAGAGGCCTTTGTTCTGCAGTAGACGTAGTCAGGCTGATGATGATAATGATAATTATGATTAATACCAAATTTGGCATATTTGAAGCTAGCGAAACGGCCGCGAGCGCATCATCAGTTTGGCATGTAGTCATGTTGTTACATGACACGCATGTCGTGATTATTATGTTAGGGTCTGTCGCTTGTGTTCGGCATGCAATCATGCCATACCATACCAGTTCGACAACATGCCATGTGAACGAATCCACCGTAAGAGCTGCAGGACCATAATAAAATTTCAATTTTGACATTCATGACATACATGTCATGATTTTCATGTTATGACTAGTCAAATATGTTCTTCATACAGTCATGTTATGCCATACCAAGTTTGGTATTGATACCATTATCGAAACGGCCAGGAGAGCTAAAAGTCGTAGGCGGCTGGATAGATAGATAGATAGATAGATAGATAGATAGATAGATAGATAGATAGATAGATAGATAGATAGATAGATAGATAGATAGATAGATAGATACGGATAGGTACGGATAGATGCGGATAGATGCGGATAGATACGGATAGATACGGATAGATACGGATAGATACGGATAGATGGATGGATAGATGGATGGATAGATGGATGGATAGATGGATGGATAGATGGATGGATAGATGGATGGATAGATGGATGGATAGATGGATAGATGGATGGATAGATGGATAGATAGAGGGATAGATTGATAGATAGATGGATAGATTGATGGATAGATAGATAGATAGATAGATAGATAGATAGATAGATAGATAGATAGATAGATAGATAGATAGATAGATAGATAGATAGATAGATAGATAGATAGATAGATAGATAGATAGATAGATAGATAGATAGATAGATAGATAAGAAACGCTCCACATTTAAAAGCACTTGCGAAGTATTCCTGTATAAGTGACCTGTCTCGAGCGCTGTTGAAGTGGTCAACCATCGAGTAAGAATGATTCTAACATCTATCTACCTGAGACGGATATACGACCGCGCGCATGGGAATTCACACGAAGTGATACTATGTAGTTTAGTATGCTTTTGCTAGTTTGCCCAACAAAATTTTCACCACCTATTCCGAAACTGCGGCCGAGAGCTGTCCTCTTCTGTGAAAGGAAGGTTTAGTTCATTCATTCATTTGTATATTGTTTTTATTTCTTAGTCACTTCGCACTGAACGTGTCGCCATGCCTCTGAAATCTATTTGAAATTGCGATATTGGAATCGCACGAACAAGCCGACAGCCGCTTGCTGCATCGAAACATGGCAAATAGAAATGGTACTTTGTGCGACTTAGTTCGGGCTAATTTTACTGAAACAACGCGTTAGTAGACTAAGGACTAGAAGACGAGCATTACAGGACATGCGTGGAACTGCCATTGAAGTTCATTTCTAAAAACACTGCTAGGCAATGATTCTTCGCACTGCATGACGAAGAGATACGCTATCCAGGCTTGAATTGAAATAAAATAATAGTTGTTGAGGTGTAACGTCCCAAAACCACCGTACGGTTACATTTCATCCACCAGGGGTTCTTTAATGTGCCAGGTTTGGCTGCCATAACTGTTGCCCCCAACTTACACAAGTTCTTCCGCATTACTCGATTTCAACCACTGAGTGTTTCTATCATGCACATACATTACCGTATTTTCTCAAATGTTAGCGGAGTTTGTAATTACATTTCTCATTGTGCACCCTTAAGACTACGTCCTCGTTACAATCGAATATCGATATTACTATTTTTTTTCTTCTTAGACGCAACCAAAGGTAACATTTCGCGTTACAATTGAGGTCGCGTTCATTCTCCTCATCATTATCATCATCATCATCATCATCATCATCAGCGTGACTATATGACCACTACAAGAGGCCTCTCCCATGTTCCGCCAGTCAACTCGGTCATGTGCTTGCTGCGGCCACTTGATACCCGCAAAATTCCCATCATCATGTGGTCGCGTTAGAACTGAGTAAATACGGTTTGTGTTTTCCAAATAAACTGAAGCTGCGAGATAAGCGCGTGTCCTGTGCACGCCTTTTTTTGTCCCTCGCTTGAATACACGAGCCATATTCACAGCAAGTCGGCAACGTTCTGGGAGAAACCATTTCTACCACGAGTGGCGTAGCTGGGGGCTGGCACGCCGACACTGGGCCTCCCGCCCTACTACATACGTCCTGCCCTCCCCCATAACATACAAAGCGCAATATGTCGTTTGACCATACTTGCCCGACTTGTCCCCCCCCCCCCTTCTGATAAAGGTGGCACCTTCCCCCCCTCCCCGCGAAAAAAAAAATTCTGTCCACTCTGTTCGCTACCCCCTCACTCAGCTTACACGTTTCCATGGTCCCACCCTCTTCCACATTGCGTGACACAAACCTAAGCAAAGTAGCAATAAATCGCAAAGTCTGTCTCTCAAGTTAAACATTGCTAGGGGGTTTTCTACCCGACTTGACAAGCCTTTCAGATCGCAAGTTGCTGGCACACAGCCGCCGCTTGAACACAGACGGTCACGCTGTCGTTAGGAGGAGGTCGCGTTGCGTGTAGGACAGGGCGTGGACATGAACGCGTCGGTGGGTGGTGGCGTGCGTGACTGTGCCCGAGAGGCGGCTGCTTTTCCTTTTATTTGTGTCACTATCTTCTCTCGTTCCTTTGCTGGACCGTAGGTAGGTTACTACAACCTCGAGTCGATGGAGAGGGGTGTGTAAAGGTCGTGTTCTCCTGCCATTTCAAGCACCGTTGCAGGCACAAGCAGCGTTAAAGAGATAAGAGGGGCGGTGGCCTCTCACCCCTCCCGGCCGGAAAGCGCGCGCGGAAAAGGTCTTGGTGCTATCGCAGTGGGCTTCGAAAGAGACCGGCGGCCGTATAGGAACAAGTGGAAGGCCCCGACGTCTGTTGGCGCGAGGGTTGGCTGTGTTGCGAAGACGAAGAAGAGGAGGGGTGGGGCGTTTTGTTTGCTGTCTTTCGCACTTTCTTGCTGCGAACTTCTTTTTTTTTTTCACCCTCACTTTTTATGAACCACCCCGTGGTGGTAGCGGCTAGAAGATGGAAGAGGAAGAAGGCGCCTCATTTCTGCAGCCCGGTAGGGAGCATGGCGCGGCGCGGACGTAGTAGTTGAGTTTGTATGTCTTTTGAGAAAGGGCGAAGCAAGGAGAGAAGAGGGTGGGAAAGGGGATACCGCTCAGATGATGGAGACACGACCTTTTTTTTTTCTCTTCCTCCTCGAAGGACAAGGTTTTGTTTTTTCCTCGCCGCCACTCTTCCTTCTCTTCCTCTACGCAACCGGCCGACCGTCTGGCCCTCTTCGACGACGGCTGGCTCGTCGCTGGCTTTTCTCAAAACGCGGCCGAACGTCGCAGCGCGCGAACGTGAATTCTCGCTCCCCGAGTGGCCGGCTGCCTGGCGCGACGAACCAAGAAACAAGAAGAAAAGATTTGCGCGGGAAGATCGACTTCTTATTGAGGTGCGTGTGTGTGTTGTTGGTGCACCGTTCTACGATACGCCTCCTTTAGAGCTCATCGACGGTGAAGACATCGTTGTCAGCGCGACATATATATTATTTTTTTTTCTTTCTCCAAGTGCCTGATCTTTGGATAGTGATACGCGTCTCTGTGTGTGTGTTCCTAGCGAAAGCGACGCGACGCGAAATCCCGTGTCTGCATTCTGTGTGTTGTGTTGGCGCACGAGATGACATCTGGATGCAGATAGGTCGACCTCCGGATGATGATGACATGATTGATGGGCTGCGGAGGGCTTCTGCTAACTGCCGGCAAAAGAGGAGGTGGAGCTTGTGTCGTTGCGCAGGCGTCGGTTGCTGCTCCCGCTAACTTATCGGCGAAGACTTTCGTTTACAACGCTCCGCAGTCGGCTCACGCCTTCGTGTAGTTCTGACTGCTAAGCGATCCCATCCTAGAGGCGGCGTTGTATCGACCAGCTTCTGTAACTTCTTCTACCGAGATCTTGCATCGCTGGAGTGGATTACGCGGAACACTCGCAGATTGGTTTCGACACGTGCATTGAAATGTCTTCGAGCACGACCTGCACTACATCGGTCGCTACGGACTGTTCAGGCCGTCGGGCACGCCACTACTCCAGGTGACAACTGTCACTACGACTGGACATGTTTCGGTGCGCTTCTACCAGAGAACATATTTACCCGATGCTGGTACACCACTGCATTTGCTATGTCTGACTTGCATCGCTTGGGTGCCGGCTTGTTGACGCAACGCGCCAACAGTACGTCAACGCGTGAGCTAGCGAGCCGTTTTGACGTCACCGCAGTAGGTTATTTATTCAGTACCTCTTTTTTTTTTTCTTCGCGCCCTCACCAAAGACGTGTGCCCGTGTGTATTTTCTAGCTTTGCATTTTTTAAACTTTCGTCTACGACGCCATTTGTAGCGTTCTCTGAATCTGCCATCTCTGATGCGCACTCTCAGTCAGGTGTTTTGATGCAAAGCGAGTGAGTACGTTCTTCTTATGAAGTAGAAACGGGTGCTGCGCCGAGCTGGTCTCGACGAACGGCGGTGCCAAATAAGTAATCGCGAGCGCGCTACCAAAGTAACCTGTGATCTCCGGCCCAAGCACTGTCAGTCGTGTGTAAGCCATTCGTTTGAATGCGCACGAGGGGTGTGCTTCTGAAAAGGGACAACACATCCTAGAATACTTGAAGTCATAAACTGCGTCACAGCATATCAGTCGTCGGAAGAACAATCGCACGTTCGATAATAAACATTTTGCAAAGGCTGTTCGACCACTCACGGAGGTGCCTTGCTGAAAGCTACGCGCAGCTTTCAGGAGCCATTCCCGGTGTCCGATGTTAGACTGGACTACGTGTGGCATCATCATGATGGACAAAGCCTTCAGACGTCGCAAGTCTGGCCCTCCCTGCGTCTCCTACCCACTCTGGCCAGTGGGCAAGGGTCCCGTTCGGATCATAGTGGACGCCCCGACCCAGACCACCAGGAGGGCGTCCCGTTGGGCCCGGCGAGGCTCCGAGTCGGTCGTCGTCCTTAGCAAGGTGGTCCGAAGGGGCAAGGCATTCTGCCGAAGTCTGACGCCCGAACCGCGTCTTTCGGGAAGCGAGAGCCCCGAGCCCGAATCGTGGCACGGTTCGGCGTTCGGCTACGGGCCCGCCCCCAGGGCCAAGTCTCTGTCGCCCGCCAAACGCACGTCCAAAGTGAACGGCTTCTTCAACGGCTCCGGAGACCGCTCCCTCGGATCCACCGACGACGAGTTGGACGAATCGCCGCCGTCTCTCTCCCGTGAGTTCACAACTTTTTTTCGTTTTGATACAAGTGATGTTCGACTTGCATTACAGAGTTTGACATGGTGTCAATAATACTGCAAGCCGCCGGGGCAGATAGTAGTCTGCAAGTGATTTGCCTTTTACCAGGTTATTGTCTTCACTTTTGTTGGTCTGCGCTATGCTTATTATTTACTTATTTTTCTTGCACCGCAGTTCTTATAGTAAAATAGTATTCGAGGGGAGATAAACCTCTTCTCCACAGAGCAGCTTAAAGACCAGATAGTATGGAACATAGAGGCACAGGACAAACGCTTGTCCTTTGCATGAGCCTCATTTCTCCGTTTTTTTTTTTTTTTCTGAATCTAGGCTATTCAGTATTTAGGATTATGAACAAACTAGCCCAGCAACGAATTTTGTCGAGTGAAAATGAAATCTGGAGGGATAGCCAATTCATGTAGTTGGTTTGCCATTGCACCGAGTGGTGCCTGTCGCATGAATCCGAGGAGAACAATCTCCTAACCTCGTCTTTTAGTTGTCTTCCGATATCGCTTCAGGTTTCGACACTTCGTAATATATTCGCAGGCCAATTCACGTTTAGAGCTCGTTCACACGCAGGCGAATCGCATTCGTCGCGCGAAGTCGGTCGCGAGGGACTGTTCACATATACGCTCTACATAGTGTCGAAGTGATATATCTGGTTCACTCGTAATCCGTTATGTGTTTCGATCGCAAACCCGGTGAACTAAACGACTGAACAAGTTACAACTCGTTCATATACGCTGGGTATAATTTTACGCGGTGATGCGCATTGGTCAAAGCAAGCCACAAAGGCGTCAATCGAGATATTTTCTGCGTTGTGATGGTCTGGTCGGTTTCAACGTTCGTCGGTAGCCGTGATTCAGCCGTCCTGTTTGATCACGCGACCTTCGACAAAGCCCCGTTTGAATTGGCTGACGAAATCCCTGTATTGGCTGACGGAATACATGGTGGGGGGGAGGGGAGGGTAATGCATCCGCTGACGAGTTGTACGGTGCATGTTTGAAAATTACACTAACTAGTTAGATAAGAAGTTTAGCGCATGTGTGATGATTAGGCGTAGTCAGGCACGGCCGAGTGTTTTGTTCCAACCTGCAACCAATAATAAGCGCCAGAAGAATGTGAGCACCATTACTAACAATAATTCTTGGTATACGCGTGTTCAAAGTGCCACATCGCATTACAGGACGTTAGGTTGAAGGTACAATCATAAGCAAATTGCCGTCGTAATAATAAAAATTTCACTCTACTGTTAGTTTTCCTCTACTGTTAGCGTCTCATCATCTTGAACGCGTCGTTGAAACAGCCGTATGAACGAACAAAACAGCTATTTCGAACCATAACATTCGCAGATCTTACGTATAGTATACAGCGATTCAATCATACGAATCAGCGTAACTGTAATAAAGTCCTCTTGCGTGTGAACGGTAGTAGGCCGATAAGTGTGGCCCAGGCGTCTCGCGCATGCAATCATGACAGCGCGATGTCCACGTTGCGCATCCATATTTGCTTCGTTTTCATACGCGCGCGATACAGAAATTGATTGTCGCCACACGAAATACCACAGAGCGTGCGACCTCGTACAACGATCCGGCACTCAGTTTGCTAAAAAATGTTTTCTTTACTGGCGCGAGGGGTCGCGTTAAAGCCAAGGTTACGGCTTGAATGTCAATGTTTTACGTGCACAAAAGCGCGTGCACTTTGCCGCGCACTGTGTCAACTGTCATATTTCATTTCGAGGATTAGGAAAAAAAAAAGGTGATCGCTTCTTTATTGTTTTTTTTTTCACTTTATTCTTTTGGGTAAGCAGAGCGTGGATATGAGTGCTCAGTGCTAAAGATGAAAACGGCATGAAGTGCCTGCCGCTGTGGTACTCTATTGGTACACCTATATAAAATCGTTTATTTATTTATTTATTTACATTGTTAACTATTTGTTTAATCAGTATTTCATGAAGAAACCAAAATTACGACGAGTATTATTCAATCTATATGTTATCATTCTCGCATGTCCCCTCCCCCGCCTTTTTTTTTTCTTTCTTTCCTTTTTCTCCTTTTTTTTTCTTCAAATATTCTACTGCCCCACGTTTTGTGGACGATCCCCCGTGGTGGGTTGAGCCATTCTTCTGGAAACCAACCAACCAACCCATCGGCTACGAAGAGGCTCTTCTCTGTGCTCAATGTCACGGGTAGAATCCCAGCCTCAGCCTGTTGTATGCGCCTATCGCAGGACTAATTCTAATCAATTCCAATTTGTCTAATTGTCTCTGTAATTGGCCACTCAACACTAAAAGATGTTCGATTGAACATTGAGCCTGATGATATGGCCATTTCTTGTCTTGTCGCGCCGTTACACATAAACAGTAATACTTTTTCCAAACTTGTTCAATGCTTAACACGAGCCCCGCCGCGGTGGTCTAGTGACTAAGGTACTCGGCTGCTGACCCGCAGGTCGCGGGTTCGAATCCCGGCTGCGGCGGCTGCATTTTCGATGGAGGCGGAAATGTTGTAGGCCCGTGTACTCAGATTTGGGTGCACGTTAAAGAACCCCAGGTGGTCGAAATTTCCGGAGCCCTCCACTACGGCGTCTCTCATAATCATATGGTGGTTTTGGGACGTTAAACCCCACATATCAATCTATCAATCAATGCTTAACAAGAATCATCATAATCGTCAGCTTGACCACGCCCACTCATTCCAGGGCAAAGGCCCTTCCCACGATCCGCCAAAAAACTCGGTCCTGTGCTTTCAGTTGTCACGTTATACCTGCGAACTTCTTAATCACATCGGCTCACCTAACTTTCTTTCTCCCCTTCGTCTGTTTACCTTCTCGGGGAATCCAGTCGGTTACCCTTTATGACCTGTGGTTATCCTGCCTACGTATACGGGCCCGGCCCGTGTGCATTTCTTCTTGATTTCAACTATGATACCCTTAACCTCGGTTTCTCCCCTGACCCACTCGAATGTCTGTTGCTATCTCAGATTATACTTCGGAAAATACTGTATTTCTTATCGCTTGATGTTGGTGCAACGTTTCCTCAAGTGTGTCGTGTGTGTGTGTGTGTGTGTGTGTGTGTGTGTGTGTGTGTGTGTGTGTGTTTTTCTTTGAATTTTTCGATACGTATCCAGTGCGAGACGCGGAGTACCAAGGCTGTATTTTCCCATAATCTAGCTGGCACCTTCGTGGTCGTTACTGTGCGATGTTCCTTTTTTTTTTATACTTATCCTACATCTGGGCCGTCCCACATACCGCCACCACCCTTTTTTTTTTTCATTTGTAGGACTTACCTCTTCTCGGGCATGTAGTGCGCGCATTGACCGGCAAGATAACGATACCAGTAAACAGCCTCGCGTTCCGGAATTCCTGGGCCGGTTCTATTACTGTATATAGTATACGTATATACCGATGACACCCACGATTAAGTCGTAGCGCAGCCTTCGATGCGTTCTTTTTTTGTTGTTTTGTTTGTTTTTATTTTTTTTTCTTCTCGACTTTCGTCGCATTCTCAGGCATGGTCCCCCGCGGGTCTTCGGGGACAAACACCAGGAGAAAGCCGCCTTAGAGAAACGAGAACACCTTCGATAAGAGAAAGAAAGAAAGAAAAAATAAGAGAAAGAAAAAAAGAAAGAAATGAAGAAGGAAAAAAAACAAAAAAACAGAGCGCGAATATAAATTCGTCGAGCGAAGACGCTCCGGAATGTGCCGTTATTCGAATGCAGCCCCTTCATCTCTGAATTGTTAGTCCTCGCTTTGTTCTTACTTTCTGTTTTTCTTTTTTTCTTTTTATTGCATCTTGGCTGTCTTCACGCTGCGGCGACGGCACACGTTAGGTCGGACCGTCGGTACATGCCATCTCGGGGCTCTTAGTATTCAAGATCCATTTTTAGGGCCGCCGAAGCGCGCAGTCGGTCTTCGAGGCGCCCGACTGTCGGTCGCCAACTTGCGGACGTACTTGAGAAAGGAAAAAAAAAGAAAGGAATGGTCGTTCATCGTGAATTCACGGCGCGACTTAGCTAAGCGAATGGACGAAGGCGAGGAGGGGAGAGTTCGAAGGAGCCGCGCTGTTCCGCGTGGAAGCGAGCCTTTTTTTTTTTTTAAACTTAACTAAAGCGTGCCACGTTAGATTATTACTGGAGGCACAAAGGCACAGGAAGAAGAACTATTAGAGAGCGTCATGTAATTTTCTCTAGCCTCTGCAAGAGAACCTCCTTTATGCACCGTGGGTGCGATTCTGGACTTCGTCGAATTCCGCCATTTTGTCACATTCCGCCGTTGATGATGCTAATTGGCCAAGTGAGCTGCTACGACCTCTCTGATTGGCTTAAAGTGCCGCCATTATACGATATTTGACAATATGGCGGAATTAGTGTCCGGAATAGCACCCCGTGCTTAATGGGTGTAGAAGAATGAGGCGCACAAAGCATGATCGCTGCAGACCCTGCCAAAACGAGCCGAGCAATCGTAGCGCTTCGTCTCTCCTTTATGCTTTATTACTAGGCTCGAACATGGTCACCTGATGCTCCCTCATTTTTGTTATTCTTCATACATCCATCCAGCCATGTCTATTGCTGCATGTATGCATGGATGGATGGAAGTACGCATGAATGGATAGATGCCACGAGTGTCTGCTTTATAGTAGGGTGGGAACCACTGCACAACCATGACTCTAGCAAAAAAAAAAAGGAAAAAGCAAATGAAAAACGTATCGATGTTTCAACAAAAAAAAAAGTGACACCGTGAATTCACAAACTTTCAGCCCGTTACGGCACACTGACCTCAGTTTTTCTTCTAAATATTTTTCTCTTTTATCGCAACTTTTTTTCTCCGCCAATCCTGTAACCAGCACGTACTTCTAGCGCGGTTCTGTTTTAGCTTTTTTTCTGTTTTCCCTAGAATCCCTGGCTTTATAGGATAGCGTCGAAGCATACACACCCGGGAGGATATCTCCACATTTAACACGTGCTGCGTCGTTTTCTTATA